GTTATAATACCACTGACAGTTGACTGTGGAATATTTAGTAGGGAGGAAATTTCATGACTGGACTTGTTGCACAGGTGGCGTCCTATCACGGTACCACGCTGGAATTCACTGAGCTCCTGAGAGCTCCCCATTCTTTCAGTAGTGTTTGTAGAAGCAGTCTGCAGGCCTAGGTGCTTGGTTTTATACACCTGTGGCCATGGAAGTGATTGGAGCACCTGAGTTCATGATTTAGGTGGGTGAGTGAAAACTTTTGGAAATATAGTGTATGTATGTTTAAGGTTAATGATGCTTCCAGCTGTGGCTTTAACTTTCATTGGGGCTGAAAAGGTTCGTCCCAGTGAAAATGAGCCATGAAGAGCAGATCAGTGAACATGTGTTTTGATATTAATATCCATTTCTCTCCCAGTGTTTTCATAACTTCCACTCTACAAGCCGGCGGAGCCTCTTTCGTGTGTGTTTTTGATTGTAAAGAAGCAGGCGAACGCGTCCGTCTTTAAAGCAGTCACATTTATTGGCCTCCTCTATGCACATTTACTCAGCTGCCAGGCAGCTTCAGGGAAGATGTACAACAGGAATCTCCACAAAGTTTACTAAAAATAAATACAAGACTCGTCGCTGCACAGCTCAAAAAATATACAAAGGCTTGGAAATAATGTAAACTTCTGAAATCATTACAAAAGAAACAGCATCGCAACATTTTAAAAAGGTCATATTTACAAATCTGTACAAAAAAATACAAAAGTGATGCTTTTCTAGTTTGTTCAGAGTGTTCGGTCTGAGTGAGGCGCAGCTCGTACCGGGACCACAGACGCACTGCGGCTCTCCTTCTCACTGAAACAGTGACCACTGCTGTTACTCTCCACGTTCATGCACCAGCACAGCTAACTCTCAAGCCACTTGGTGCGCAGATGTAAGGAGCGGGTTCCTTAATTTGGGTTTTGTTTAGTTTTTCAAATAAAATTTCAAACAGTCTCGTGTAGAAATCCTCCATAAATAGTTTAAGGTACAGCAAAAGACAAAATAAACTTCACACAGTCCACGATATCAGTGCAATACCAAGGTTATGCTTGCTGGAATGATGGTGTTCAGAGCTGCGCCAGACAGTTATCCGCTGCGTTTTCAGTGTAAACCGTCAGTAAAGCAGCTCTCCTGCGGACGTCATGATGCCAGACACGTCCGCCAACTGCCTTCGTCTTGTTCCCTTTGTAGTGCGCCTGCTCTAGCGTTTCGTTTAAGATCAGAGCCGAGAGAAGGGCCGGCGAGGAAACTAGTGCTCGTGCAGCGTATCGGCTTATAAATGAAGAGTAAACGTACAGCAACTCTGGACAAAGTACGCATTTCTGGTCATTTTCTAGTTGCAAACAACAACTTTGCCGAACACGTCCTCTACAAGGAATAAAAAACAGAGGTGGTGATGATGCCACGTTCTGTTTTACTGATAGTGTTTCAATATCGGTATCAGCATCAATATTAGCAGCAGTGCTGGCCGATACTTAAGGGTCAGTATCATTGTTGGCCGATACTGATATTGAAACGCTGAGTATCAGCCGATATCGATATTAAAACATTGAGTATCGGCCGATATCGATATTAAAACATTGAGTATCGGCCGATATCAATATTAAAACATTGAGTATTGGCTGATATCGATAATAAAACATTGAGTATCAGCCGATATCGATATTAAAACATTGAGTATCGGCCGATATTGATATTAAAACACTGGGTATCGGCCAATATCGATATTAAAACATTGAGTATCAGCCGATATCGATATTAAAACATTGAGTATCGGCCGATATCGATATTAAAACATTGAGTATCGGCCAATATCGATATTAAAACACTGAGTATCGGCCAATATCGATATTAAAACACTGAGTATCGGCCAATATTGATATTAAAACATTGAGTATCAGCCGATATCGATATTAAAACACTGAGTATCGGCCAATATCGATATTAAAACACTGAGTATCGGCCAATATCGATATTAAAACATTGAGTATCAGCCGATATCGATATTAGAACATTGAGTATCGGCCGATATTGAAATCGATACTGACATATTAGCCGATATATTGATATTGAAACCTTGAGTATCAGCTGATTCTGTTATCAATATTGAAACCAGTATCAATATCAGCTGATACTGATATTGATACTGAAACCTTGAGTATCAACTGATACTGATATAGATATTGAAACCTTGAGTATCAGCTGATACTGATATAGATATTGAAACCTTGAGTATCAGCTGATTCTGTTATCAATATTGAAACTGATTGATACTGATTGATATTGATATCGATATTGATCAGTATCAGGCTAATAAAAAGATTTGAAATTTGTTATTGAATTCCAAAAGTTTTCAACGCCTTTGAAGTAATAAAAGTAATTCAATCGGTGCCATAAAAGTCCGGCATCTCGATACTCAGTCCTAGCAGAGGACGTGTCGCCTCACTTTCACAAATCAACATTGACCAGGGGTGCCAATAATTTTGCACAAGACTGTACCACTAAAGCCCCATTTAGACCTTTATTCTGAGTGTAACGCCGTTTTAAAGCCACTATTATTTCTAGCTCAATTATAAACCACATCCCTGTAGTTAAGTGACTTAATCAACTCAGCTTGATTTCACTGGTTAGTAGCTTCAGCTAAATCAGAACAGTGAATATGATCTGACCACTGTGGCCTGCTGCAGTTAAGGGTTCAGCACTCACCCCTTGGAGAGCAGCACTTAAAAAAAGAAAGAAAGAAAGAACGAAAGAAAGAAAGAAAGAATAGGATACAACCATTTGGAGAAGGAGCTAACAGGACATACAAACATTAGCTTATATCTTTATAATTTGACTTTAAAGTGGTTAAAACTCTCTTCTGCACCAGTGTTACTTCAATAAAGCTTAATCATCTGATGATAAAATGTAATTCCATAAATAAAAAATGTCTCACCTCAATATTTCATAGTTAGCAGTATCTTTTAAGGTTCTTTGTTAGGGTTAGTACCGACAATAAAATAAAAATTAGATTTCGTTTTTTCTGTGATGCACAATTGAAGTTGCCTTAAATTGTAGTCATAAATAAAACAGGAAACTACAAACAAGTCAAAACTGCCTAAACATTCCTACTGAGACACTTAGAGAAACCTACACTACAGACTTGCCTTTTCTCTCAGTCAGACATGACTTTGCTCCATGGATTTTTACCTCCAGAGGGTTTTGTACCCCTAACCTTCCTTTTGTAACCTAATTGCTGCTTCTGAGCCAACTTAAAGGGGAACTTCTCTGTTCTTTCAATTTCTACATAATTAAATGGTTAAAGCTGCACTGTGTAAGATTTGGGGATTTGGAGACCTCTCTGGTGGAAATCTGTAATTGCACACAACATGCATCCCTTTCACTGAGGGGATGAATCTGATGATTGAAAGAGAATTCAAAGACAAGTATTTGAGATCTAAACATCCAGCCGGACCTTTTTGAGCCTGTATTAATACGTAACACTTACAGACGGCAGCTTTAAGGTGTAAACAAAGCCATTAACTTGAAATGCTCTGTTCTAGATTTATAGAATTGTTCATAATGGTGGTGATAGGAACCAGACGTCCAACTCTAAAAGCTCCCTCACAGAAAGTTACTACATTAAATGGTTATGAATTCACTGCCTGATGACTGAGACACTATTTTATGATAGTTTTAAGAACATTTTGGCCTAAAACCCTTGCAGGATGTTAAAGGGGGGGGGAAATTGTCCATAAATATAAACATATTTTTCAGATTTTCCACTATTTTGCCAGCATCAACAATCCATATAACACTCAGACTCGTGTAGGTTCACCGGTGGTTTTGATAGTAAATAAAATGTCTATATTTGTGTTGTAGTCATGGCGACCCCTGGTTCCTATCACCACCACTGTAAAGACATCTGAACCATTTCACACCAAACCACTCTGAATCACTTTGTTTACATCTCAACCACTGAATTATGCTGAAATTTAGAAAAGCTCCCCCTTAAAAAACTCAGTTTCTTCTTACTCTCAAACTCACCACTTAAACTAGGCTACTTCTGAACTTTCCTCCTTGCCTTCTCAACTTTCACACCCAGATCAGAATTGCAGTCCAAACGCCTGACCACTCGCCCCGCTGTCCTTTAAAGCTTGACTTAAAACTTGACCCTCTACACTTGTTTAAACCTTGCTCCACTTCACTCGCAGTTTACTGCTTTTGTTTTGTTTTCTTCTACTTTTGCTAAAGGTTTATGCCAAAATATTCATACTGTATGGATGACAAAACAATGAATTTACAATGAAATACACCATGTAATCCCACAGCCACTCCACATACAAGACGAATTCTAGCGAACTGACGATACCAACACCAACGTTTTATAGTAACCTGTCACCACTGTGTCTGGATATTTATTGCATGCAGTTCATTCAATGGCCACTAGAGGGAAACAGGAAAAAAGGACCAAAACATCATCACATCAAGACACGCTGGTTTAAAACACGGTCGTGTATGCTTTTAGACTCCGATCGTCTTCCCATCCTAGTTTACACAGTGCTAGTGCTGACATGAGGTCACTTAAAAATGTGAATTAATTATTAATTCAGCGTGTGAAGAATCAGTACTCCAGTGACCAAAGCACTGCTCGCTTTATCCCAAATCGTTCATACTGATGCATTTCACAGGTTATTTAATTTCACTATTGAACTTGGGCTTATTTGATCAATCAGAAAGAACTGGCACACTCCTTTTGAAGGAATTCATCAAAAAAATACAAACATTGTGGTGTAGTGTTTTAACAGTTTTGCGACTAAATCTTTTAACCAATGTACGGTCGTGTGCAAAAGAGTGGGCACCCCTGGTCAAATGACATTTTGTTGATTTTCTAAGTAAAAGTAAGTGAATACATCCTTGTGGAATGCGCCCATCCCCCAGGCCCTGATGACGACCGTGAAAGCCCCAAAGAATGGCGGGAACTGCAGAATCGCAAGTGAGCAGGGGGTGGCGGACTTCAGGGCTCACTTCCAGCCTTCGTCCCGTCTCTGGCGGCTGACGTCCTCCTCCCGCCATCACTCATGTCCCTCAGCAGAGGTCAAGATTCGGGCCCTGCCTTCCCGCCGGCTCTCGTGGCTGTCATCGGGGCTCGGGGGACGGGCGCAGGGCTGAACCCTCTACAGAGAACACAGTTCTGCACATTTTAATGCACAATCACTGTTTACTTACTGAATGTAAGATACTGGTGGAAAAGTTTAGTATAAAATGTGTGCAAACGTAATTTTATATTTTATTTTTATTATTTTTATTGGTTCCGATATGTTGTACACTAATTTAAAATGCCAAGTGTGCTCCCTGTAGAAGATGTGTTAATTAATGTTCACACAACGTTTTCAGCAGAACATTTGACCAAGGGTGTTAAAACTTTTGCATATAACTGTATATGCTTATACAAGCATGTGCATCCAAGTATGTGTGTATGCAAGATCTGTTTGGGCCTCATTTAGCATATATAATGAGCATAGAATGTTTTTTTGAAACTGCATGTCATATTTATTAACATCTAAACTGAAAAGAGCATCAATTGCATCAGTTTTTGAATTCCAGAATTTCTAGATGTGAAATGGTCTCGTTCTCATTTCACAGTCTTCTTCAATTTGCAGTTAAATTAAATAGATTGATCTGCACCTAAGAAGGACAACCACATTATTTCACTACCATTGCATATTTCTTTTAGGTTATTTGCTTTGCAGAGAATTAATATTTAAATGATACTAATAAACTTCACAGCTGTGTTGATTCAATAAGATTAATTCAGAAAAGTTCAGAAAAATCTCTGTAAAATCATTCTTCACTCACTGATCTGAGCTCATTTAGCTGATATGCTTGATAAATTAAGCCTATTTTGAGTTATTAAATTATTTTCTGCTTTAAATTTGCTTAAAATGTTTTTCTTTTTTTAAGGTATTTTACTATAAAACTCTGTTATAATTTCGGCTAGAAATTGAAAGAAGTGCAAAATAGTAATAGGATAAACCTACGTAGCAAAATTTCCAGCCAAATGACTGTGAATTCTATCTAACGCTGGACTGGTCATCTGAGATCATCATCATCATCATCATCATCATCTTAAACTGATTAATCCAGCTAGGGTTGTGGTAAGACCGCTGGGATAGACTCCAGCACCCTCCGTGACCTAGAAGGATAAGCAGTTATCTCAGATGTTGAGGAAGCTGACTCATTGTTGCTACAACAAACAAAGGCCACTTTTTGATTGTCCTACGTTTTTCTGTCTTGGACATGTTTACGTTTATGTACGTAGCTACATAACATTGTATGCCCATACAATTTTATTCTCCATTTTTTTGTGACTGAGCAACTCTACAATATAGATTGCTGTGCTCTTAGACAGCAAGTGATGTACTGCATATGCTTATAAGATGACTGTGTGATTATTTTGACACCATACTTGGTGAAATTTGTAATGTCAGTTAACACACGTATGCTCCAGAAACATAAGCAAAGTCCCGGTCGCACATAAAAAAGTGAGTGAGTGAAACAAATATGATGGAAGTGTTACATTGCAAATGAAACATAATCTCTCTGCACACTTCTGTTTTTTTCTTTTTTTCCTCAGAGCTACAAAAGGGTATAAACTCGGCAGAAGATGTCTATCATTTCTGCTTTAAAAAGAGAATCAAAAATATGTAACTGGTTTCATAAAAAGTTCAAAAAGATTTGTGTTCTTGTTTAGTGGCTGATAGTAGAAGGTGCTTTTTTTAGTTTTGCTTAAGAAGAACGGTCGTCGTGTGGACTCCCGTCTGAGTTTTCTGTTTCTCCCTCAGAAATCGCTTGCATGGGTGCCGTGTACAGTCGGCTGCGTGTGCTGTACCGACTGCTGTTTGAAGCTGGCGGTATCCTTGAGCGGCCTGGTCTGGAAGAGCCAGTGGGAAAAACTTTTGTGGTGAAGCCCTCCACACTGACTTTTGGGAAGGGGCTTGGGAATTGCTCAGGGGTTCCCTCAGGAGACTGCAGCTGCAAGGGTGAGGGAAACTCTTCGGGTTGTTTGGAGCCCTCTGCAAGAGAGTCGCTGAAACTTTTGGAAGCAATGGGACTTTTTAGAATCTCTGTGGCAGACATGCGGTAGCTGGAATCTGAGCGACTTCCCTTTTTCAGCAGCAGCTGTTTAAATTCCTCGTTGGAGGTACTGGACTTCTTGGCGCTCCTGTAAATTGGTCCTGGGGTCCGCTGGGAGCTCGTTGGAGTTGTTGGAGTGACAGGGGTGCTGGGAGAGGTTAAAGGACTGCTAGCTGCACTCGGACGACCTCTCACTGTCATATCTCCAGAGTCCTTTCTGCCAAGGACTTTTCTTTTTGACCTTAAATGACAAACAGTTTTGATGTTAAGATATTTCTGACCACATTTTCATTTAAACAAATCTGCTACTTTTGACTGAGACATAGTTCCTTTTACTGAGGAAAAGATACTGTAAGTTGGAAGCTTACCTGTGAATCATGGCAAAGAGGTCCTCTGTTGTGCGGGCTTTACTAGGAGAAAGAAAAACGTCCTCATCCGTTTGAGGGGACACTGTTGGATCACTAGGTGTGGATTCTGCAAAGATATTTGATCTGCTTTTTAATAAATTCAAGTAACAAAATGTGACACTCACTAACAGAGATTGATCATCACAGACAATGTTTTACTGTGCTTTGCTTTGTTACTAAGGGCTTGATGATAAACTAGCTTTTGCTGTAGCCGAAACTTAACTGGTGCGAGTAAGTACTTTGACATTTGTTTCTGGCTAATAGCTGTTGCTGAATGGCAGCATCCATGATAAATGCATCTCTGAAGAAGAGAACAATGTGACAGTCCTTGTGTTATCAGTGCTCAAAATATTATCGCAAGCTCTACGTTATACATGACCAACATGCTTTTATCAAATGTAATGACCAGGTTATAATGTTTCCACAAAAAGATGTCCCTGACTCATTTGGAATTTGATTGGTTTCCTTTTAGAGAGCTTTCTTTTTATTTCATCTATGGAGAACAGAACAGTCAGCCTGGCCTTCTTATATATACACTAGACTCCATTTGAGAGCCAGCGTGAGAGAGAAACTGCAAGAGAATGTGTGATGTTTGTCAGATTGGATAGCAGACATTTGATATGAACAGATTAATGCAACCAGTGACTTACCTTTGCTGAAGTAACCCTCTGTGTCTGGCGTCAACCCTTCCTCCATGTTGTACTGTGAGGCACTTCTGGCTGGAACACTTGATGTCAGTGATTCCCTTCCTTGATTACTGGCATCGCTGATTGGACTAATTTGCAATGATTCCAGTAATGATCGACTCATAAAATCAGGCACTTTGTCAAGACTCTCAGAGGTCTTCACTATACCATGATGATCAGATGGGGATACTGCTGTGTTTTCTTCTGTTGCCTCAGATCTCCCTGGTTGGCCCTTCTCTGCTTCTACACTGTTCTGAGGGGAAATCTCCTTTGAAGTACTTGTGTCTTGGTCACAAGATACCTTTTGTTCCACTGTGTTCTCTGATATGTCAGCTGTGATGTCATCTTGGTTCCCCTCTTCAGAAGTTGCACTGAAAGCAGTCAGACTTGAAAGATGTACTGGGGCTAACCTGTCATATCGGTTTCTAGCACTAAGATGGCTCACCAAACTCCCAGAAGCTGGTCCATCTGCAAGAATAAGCAGTGATTCACAGTTGTCCTTAGAGGAGGTTTCAGTGGTCAGGGGTCTGTAGGGTGGGGGCTTCCTGGTTTCATGGGGTTTACTATTGGTGGGTTCAGTGACAATAGTTACAGTTGGGCACTTGGGTCTAGTGGAAGCATCTGTACAAGGCCGATCATGGTTTTCTTCACCAGGTTTGCCAACCGAGCGTAGCTGCACTGAACGAAGCACCATAGGGGTAATTACTAATGGACCGGTGCTGTCAGTTTCAACTTTTGCAGCCAATGAAGCTCCGCCCTCAGCTTTTGCTGCAGCCACCTTCTGTTTGTTCTGGTGAAAGATGTGCATGTGGTTCCTATGGGTTGAAGGCTTGTTGACACTGTGAAGGCCACTTAGGTCAAGATGGGTAGGAGGTATAATGGGTAGCTCAAGGTCCCTCTTGGATGTACGATGTTGCAGTGAAGCAAGAGAGGACTTTCTCTCTGGGACTTTTGGCTTCCTCTTTCCACCAGTGGGGGAGATGGGGTTAGGGTTTGGAAAGAAAGCAGATGGCATAGAAGATGTTGGTGTCTCTGACTGGCTTGAGTAGCCACTAGAAGGGGATGCCAGACCTACTAGCTTCTCTGGGGAGGGCAGTCTGAATTCATTTTCCACAGGTGGTAGTGAAGGTGTGGTGGCCCTCGAGCCAGACTGGGAAGTCTGTGACTCTGAGCTCTCCTGTGACTTTATGCATTCGATGACTGTTGTACCCGTAGCAGTGCTGGAGTTTGACAAGGATCGGTATGGATCGTTGGATTTCAAGTCATTCAGAAGCCAGAGGTCTGCATAGTCAGACTGCACGGCTCCCTCATCCTTGAAGGAGTGTGTGTCTGTGGAGCCAAGGAAAGCAATATCTGGAATCTCCCTAGAACTCTGAACACCCCAGGCTTCCACTGGCTCCTCACTCTCTGGCTGGTCAGAAGGGTCACTTGATCCCGACTGCAACAACTTCTCCTTGGAAGACATTGGTAGGTGTTGCTCACCAGTTATCTTTGGTTCATTTGTTTCCAGAGCTGGGCCAACGTGGCTGCTGATTTTCTTTAAGGACGAACTACGTTTTGGTGGTGATGGCTTCACCTTTGGTTTCCGCAGAGAGAGACTGCGTCTCCCAAGACTGTGACCTCTGTAGTCTTCCTTTTGCTGGTCCACTGATGCATAGTTGTAAGTGAAACTTTTGCTACCTTTAATACCACAGTCAAAGTGCATGGAGGTATAGTAGCCCTCAGCATCCACAGAGAAGTGCGACATGGTGTCAGCCTTTTCAGAGGGAGGCTTATCTAGGCTCTCAATCGTGGCTATGCTAGCAAAACTGGGGCATTCTAGGCTACCTTCCTCTTCCCTGGAGTGTTCAGGGCTGAAGTCTTGGTGGCAGGATGTGCTGTGCCTATGCTGAGGGTAACTCCACTCACCTTCACTTGCAGTGCTGACTCCAGCATCATCCAGCATGTCAGTTGCAGTGGAAGTAAAAGAGCCCGTTCTGTGACCACGAAGACCTTGAAGCCTGTCCCCAGAGTATGGATCAATAATGAAGCCTGTAGAGTCTTCATTTGCATTAGGAGCTGCGTTTAGAGACAGCTCTGAGTCACAGTGTGAGGATCCAGTAAGTGGGGGTGAGGCTGCAGGAGGAATAGTCTCTGACGTCTGAGAAGGACATGTGGAGCTGCTGCCACTCCAGTTGCCACTGGAAGACTGATGGTCCTCCTTGTGATCCATCTGGCTGGTCAGTATACCAGCATTGGAGTGGATGGGGCTGCTGAATGTGTCAGAGCTAGATGAAATCTCACAACTTTCCATGTCAGCTTTATGAGGCAGGTGGGACCGACCTCTATCCATCCACACATGCTCTGGGCTCTCAGGTAGCTGCTTGAACTTCAAGCTTCCTAGCTGCCGTTCTGGCGGTACCTGGTCATCAGTGCTCTCTCCTTCATCTTTCAGCATGTGCTCTCCTGGTACTGCAAGGAAGTCTTCTGCTTCAAACGGGGAAAGTTCTTCTTCCTCTTCATCATCATCATCATCACTACTATTGTGGCCATCATCAAGTAACCGGCCACCTTCACGAGGCAGGCTACGGGAGCGCAAACGGGAGCCAACAGAGGCAGCAAACATCATTTCAGAGCTTTCCGGTAGAGAGGAGATATTCCCTGTGGAATGGGAGAGTGACACAGTCCCACACTGTCCCCTCTGAGCTCTTATCCGTCTACGTGACGGTGCTGCTGCAACTATCAAGAGGTCGTCTGTCTGGCAACCAGAGTCCCTGGTGTTAAGACGAGAGAGTATGAGATCCTCTTGGCAAGTGTCAGGACTGGCATGCACTATCACTGTGCGTTCTCTAGCTACCGGGGACTCATCAGAGTCTGAGAAGAACACAATTTGTAAATTGTATGCTAGTACCTACTGCATAATCTCAAACATCCTAAAATAAAAAAAAACTCACTGTTAAAGAAACTATTTGTTGCCATGGGTGCCAACAGCATCTGTACCTTCATGACTTTTGTCAACTTAGTCAAATATATCTAAAGTTTTTCAGCAGCTTGAGATGCTTTAACCCCAAAAAATTCCCCACTTTCCCTTCCAGCACTCCTGAAGCCCGTTTTAAATGAGAGCGCTGCAGCTCAAACGGCAAACCCGAGAGCATTTATCAGTCCACACTTCAGTGTTTTATCACAATGGATAATGACCTTGACCATTAGATCAGTATAAACATGTGCTGCTGCTCATTAACGATGAAATAAAGGTTATGTAGACAACATCTGAGCACAGCTACTAATAACTGCTTGTTAGCGGTAGTACGAGTCAACTTGCAGTGATTTTCAATAGCCTAGCTTAGCTGTTGGCTAGATTTAAACATTTAAAAATGAAATTATTTCCTTCCGCATATCCCTACATCTATCACAAAATACACAGCTTTTGATTGAAAAACATCATTGTGGATGCCTTTGTGGTGAGAGGATGAAGTTCAAATAAACCAAACAGGAGCTTTATTTAAGCTAAATGTATTGGCACACCAGGCCAGCATGGGCTACTGAGGTTAAACTAGTGAACTTGAAAAGTGTCAGTGACTGCAGAGTGGTTTCAGTACAGCAGTCTGTGGGTGGTCCCTCATCTGTATACAGAATAGCAGGGGGACAAATTGCAACAGGATTTTATTTCACTAATTTTTTACATGGACTTTGGCGGAATATTTTACCGGACAATGTGGGATTTCAAATTACCAAGTGTTAGGTAATTACCAGCTAATGAAAACCCTGATATATGATGCCTAAAATAACAAAATGCCTGAGCACAAAACCTAGACAGAATTTCAGAAAAATAGGTCCCCCATTAGACCACTACAACTTCAACTATTTCACGAGATTGTCATATTAGAACAATAAGGCAAAAGAGCCAGATCTCCTGCAACATTTCTCAAAAGCAGTCATTTTTCTAACATAATAACCTTTTCTAGTAACAGACTGTAAATCTAGAACTGCATGTGAAAACAAATTTCATTGACACTGAGATTAAAAAAAAGAGATGAAGGTGGTAATTGGTTTACGTGCCTAGGTCTGGCTGCACTCGTCTGGGAATGCCTGTGATGGTTTTCCGTCTCCTCAGCTTCCGTCTTCTCTGTAGCACAGACTGTGAATGGACTAGCGAGCAGCGCACACTGGCATCTCTGTCAAATCCGACCCCTGTGAAGAGCACCAGACGTCAGGAGCTGCTCTCTGCCAAGCCCTCTGATCCCTCCTGTTTCTCACACTCACGCCTCACAGAGGCCTTTAACTCTCACTGCTAACTGTATTGCAGTACCGTACAGCAGTCACTTTACATTCAGTAATGCTGAGAATGGATAATCAAGGCTTCACACTTTGTTAATGCTGTTTTAAAGCACGGTAATAATGACGTGAATGGATCAACATGTATGCCCAGTTGAAGAGATGGATTTCAGGACAGAACTGCATCAGACAAAGTACACAATTCCATGCAAAGGGAAGGGAATCACAGACCTGTGGTGTTACAACAATAAACTGGAGTATAAAGCTTATCTATGCTAGCATTCACTGTCGCAAGTAAATAAAGCTTCACTGAAATATAGATAGATACATTAGACCTGTATAGATACAGTGCAACTGTGGCTATTATAGCAATATATTATTTGCTATGGAAGCATTACTAGTAAATTGATGGAGGGCAGTAATAATCACTTCAATTTCCCATAGTATGCTTTTCTAAAATCCCTCAACACTGACTCAAGAATGCGCTAGCATCGCTAACGATGAATGTGAGTTAGTAGGGGCTGGTTAGCTTTATGTAAAAAGATCAATGCTGACTCTTTTCATACTTTGCTAGCATTTTTGGATGAAGTTTCCTTTTAAGCCCTCACTCCAGCACAGAGCAGATCAATTCGGTCTGCTCCTTTGTGATTTTAATGCAGCTAATTGGCATGCGTGGAGCAATGTCTCAAAGCTTTGCATTTCCTGGCACCAATTATGCACCCGGGACAACCAGAAAGTCATCGGCTTTTTGGCGTGACTCGCAAATTTTAAGCCTAGCTTTCATGTGCTAATCATATTTTCATGATACAGTTTCATAATGATGAGTGCTGCATACTCATGATGCCACATACAACACGATGAATTTAAGCCTAGTCTGTTATTAAGCTATAGTTAAAGTAGCCGTTTAGCATGTTTTAGGGATGCGCACCCATACTGGAAAACATACAGGCTAATTCAGTGAAGCGTGATGGTTGTATTTGTGATGAAGGGTTTTATATTTATTATCTTTATTAGTACTTTTATACTGCTACTCTGAAACACGTGTGCCTGAATGTGAGCACGTTGCTAAGGTTGCGTTGTTAAGGATGTAGCCGAGATGGTGTGGCTGTAACGCTAATTAGATAAATAGTAAGTATGTTATACTATATTTTGCCAGTACAAAGCATTAAGTGCATTGATGTAAGTATGCTGCCATAGATGCGTTGATAACTGTGTGACTAAGTAGCCAGAGAAAGCCGGCTGTGGCGCTGTTTGTCTGCTAACTAGGCTAGCTAGGCTAGCTACACAAGCTGATGTTAGCTGGTTCCATAAACAATGGAAGGATATTTTTCTGACAAACTAACATGTTGGCACATCGCTAACTGAGGAGAAGAGAGGTCGTGTGGAGGACAGTCTAAATCAGCGTCCAGTGTTGTACTGGTTAGCTGGTAACGTTTAGCGCATTAGCTCATAATTCTTTTGGGTTCCAAGGTAGCCTAACGATTGAAATGCCCCTGATAGCAAGAGGTTAGTGGACCACTGTTGGCCCCCTGATGGCAGAGCTGGCGGTCCACTGGCGTTTAGCTGGTAATGTTAGCTCATTAGCTCATCTGTAGAGTTTTTAGCTGTACTAGATAATACTTTTGGGTTCCAATATAGCCTAACAAGTGAAATGTCAAACAGGTTCCTAGGTACCAACAGGGTAAGTATGTGGTACAAACTCCACAGTACTGTGTAATTACTTTGGATAAAAAGTATAGAATAGATCCATGACATAAAAAGACTACACAAATAATGTATGTTTTGGTTGTTTTTGTGAGTAAGTTTATTATACTATATTTTGCTACTACCAAACATTAAAATCTTAGTGTAAGTACGCTGCTATGGACAGAGGAGCCAGAGAAAGTGCAGTTGTTTGTGGCGCAGCTTGTTTGCTAACTAGGCTAACTAGTTAGCGCAGCTTGTTTGCTAACTAGGCTAACTACTCTAGCTGAAGTTAGCAGGTTCCATAAACAATGGAAGGATATTTCTCTGACACACTAACATGTTGGCACATCGCTAACTGAGGAGAAGAGAGGTCGTGTGGAGGACAGTCTAAATCAGCGTCCAGTGTTGTACTGGTTAGCTGGTAACGTTAGCGCATTAGCTCATAATTCTTTTGGGTTCCAAGGTAGCCTAACGATTGAAATGCCCCTGATAGCAAGAGGTTAGTGGACCACTGTTGGCCCCCTGATGGCAGAGCTAGCGGTCCACTGGCGTTTTGCTCAGCGTTTTCTGGGCGGCCCACCAGCGGTTAAGCAGAGCAATAGGCAAAACTTCACTTACCACCGCTCATTTTCCACTCAGAGCCCAATTTACTGCTTTTTTCTTCCTTCTTATCTTTAGTTGTACTTTGTAAATTAGTTTAGTGAATAATTTTAATTATTTTAACTATAAAATCATTTTATTTCAGGACTAGTCATTTTTTTTTTTCTCTCAGTCGTTTGTAATATTTAGTCTATAAGTTTATTTTCTAAAATAAAAGTCTCTGTGTTTTAAAATCTGTTTGAAGAGATTAAAAACTAGTTAGAGTTTGTATGCAGGACAGTAATCTGGGTAGTCCGAGGGTGGACTAGCAGTGGCAAAGCGGGGTGCCGACCTTTTCAAACCAGCAGACCAATATATTCTCGCTATCTGTGTAGTTAAAAATATAGTTTAAAAAAAAACACAAATAAAGTACATTTCTGGTTGTATTTGTGTATTAAATGATATTTTGCTACTACCACACATCTTAAAATCTTAATGTAAGTACGCAGCCATGGACAGAGTAGCAAGAGAAAGTGCGGCTGTTTGTGGCGCAGCTTCTTTGCTAACTAGGCTAACTAGTTAGCGCAGCTCGTTTGCTCACTAGGCTAACTACTCTAGCTGATGTTAGCCAGGTCCAGAAACAATGGAGAGACATTTCTCTGACACACTAACATTTTGGCACATTGCTAACGGAGGAGAAAATACTTTTATGCAGTAAATACAAGCTTCTAGTGTTGTCCTGGTTAGCTTGTAGCAATAGCTCATTAGCTCATCTGAAGAGGCGGCCTCAGCTATGAAAACCAATGATTTTCTTTGGCTATTTTTGAATAATAATACTGCGTGTTTCAAATTTATTCCTCTGTGTGCTGCTAAATTTTCATTTTGCTGAATTTTTATCAACTAAAACACGCAAGACTACATTAAATTCAGCTCTTTTTGTCCCCAGTGGTTAATGAAATATCCATTCATGAACACTTAAGGCTACTACAATATCCAAATTAGTCCCGATGCATCTATGTTATGTCTGTCCTGAAACTCCTTGAATGCTGAATGTGGTCTAACAGCTACAGCTTCTTATCTAACCTTCCGACTCCTCCATATTCTCTCTCTGTCATGGTGGGATGGTTGGGGAGATGAAGGGGGTCTGAGAGGTATGAATTAATGGACACGTAAAAAGGTTTCTCACTGAGAAAGGCTGAAATCGCTGAGGAAGGAGCAGCAATGGAGACTTCCTCTGAAAACAATACATGCACAGTTCAGTGCACTCACAAGGAAAGCCTACAAATACCTCCATCTGAAAGGAGAACTGTGTCACAGAGCCCGAACAGAGCAATGATCACGATTCTGGGCACAAAACCTGGTCTAGGTAAACTTTATTTACATCTATACACAAATATGATCTTTAAGTGTGATGGCATTGCTAAGGCTTCATTTATGTTCACTGACAGTCAAGGGTGGAGCCAGAACGTTCACAATGGGGTGGCCAGAGTAGAGCTTGGTTTAACTGGGGTGGCAAACTTAGGGTTACACAAGCCCCTATGAAAGTAACATAAAAATTGATGCATTAAAATAAATATAATTTTGGCATCAACTAAATATTTCACCAACAAAGTAAGTCAACTTTTAACAAGAAAGACAAAACTGATATATTGTACATACATTGAATTATGTTAATTCAATGCAACACTTTTTCAGTGCACAACAATAACTTCTAGTATAACATTTAAGGCCATTAAAAAAAATAGGAAAATTTGGAAATTATTAATGGAGTTATAATTCAAAATTCTATAAGGATTGTGGCTGGAAAATGAATTGTTTTTATATTAAAACTGCAATTTGATAGAATGCAACATTGAAATTGCAAGAGCCTCAATTTTTGTTATATTCTGCATTATTTAATGCTGTCTTAAGTTTGAAGTGGGCATATTTAACCCAGTAACACAGAACTTGTGAACTGGCAATATGAAGGCACCACATTGTTCTGACCGCACCGTGTTCAGGCCTCAAGTCCAACAAAATGGACGTGCTGGTCTTCTTGCCAAAAATAAGGAGTGGAGCTTAATGTTTAGAAAGTAACTGCAATTTTGGTGAGAAAAATCACAATAAAATGTTTCCACCAAACTGGTCAGTTCTACATTATGAACTGGAGAAGCATGTTTTAAAACATAATTTTCACCCTGGAACAAATCTGATGTGGCCAGATGGGAGGCTATGCTTTACAATAGGGTAGCACTGGCCACCCTGGGCCACCCCTTGGCTTCACCCCTGCTGACAGTGATCACAGGAGGGCAGTCTTTAGTTCACCATGCCATGTGTAAAGTTTACAGGTGCAAACGGTTCATGTACAACGATCGGCACAGTTCTCCATTCTGTTAAGTACTCAAAATCAAGCTACTGTCAGACTGTGAGCAACACTGTAAACTCAAAATCATTCAGTTATTCCAGGCAGGCCTGGCAGAGACTCCACTGGATTGGATTTTGTCTTAATACGAGGAATGCAAGTCATTCAAATCAAATAAAAAAAAAATGAAACAGTATGTGAATCTCCAATTGCCTTTTCAACATATTTAAATTTCGAATCTGTCACAGCAATGTAATATATCGCTGCTGTCGGAACAAAACCTCATATCTGCAAAACGGTAACTTTACAGGAGAAGGAAAAAACATACTTTACTTTCAATGTAAGTCAATGGAACCAGAGTTTTTTCCAAGCAATTTTGGGTCATTTCTTTTGGTTCATTCCTCATGAAATTTACACACAATGTAAAGGGTACAAGGCATTTTCAAATTATGACAAAAACTGAAAAATGACAAAAAATGGAGATAAGGTTTTGTTCCAACAGCAGCGATTTATATATATATATGTATTGATATAAGCTGCCAACATGATCATACAGCAGGGGTGGCAAAAATAAAACATTGTAATTATAGATATTTTCTTAATACACAATATGCATCTTGATATTTAGCTTCTCTCAGGTTTGTTCAGTTGGAACAGACCAGAAAGAACCAGTAAAAACAAAACCAAAAACTATTACAGATTTTTATTCACTTTACTCCTCTAAATCTAAATAAACAGGAGCACCCTCAGGACCCTCGCATCCCCCATATTTACCTGTGACGTTGATGGGGACGACGCAGGACCCGATGGCCTGCGACTGGCTCTTCATCCTGTCCTCTGGGGTGGGCAGCGGTAGAACTCCACTCCAGTTGGTCTGTTTATCCAGTGTGGAGGGTACGTTAGGGATGGGGCACTTGGACCGGAGCCCTAGAGCCATGCCCTCTGAGTCTGGGTCATCCACATCCTGGACAATGGAAAGCCAATGAGAACAGCTCTGATAGGAGGTCGCTTAGTTTCATGTGGAAGTTTGAGAAGCTTCAGAATTAAAGAGGCTCAAATTCGTCACTATCATAACAAAACCTCGTATCTCTGAAATGGCCACTTTACAGGAGAAGGGAAATATGACTAAATTTTAATATCTGTTAACCCTCTATTGCATGAATTATTACTTAATTATTATTACTTAAATGATAAAAATGTCTTAACATGTTTTTTGTCATTTAAAATTGCTTAAATAATTGAAATATTTGAAAAAACGTGTATTTTTTTTAAAGTGGCGTATTTGGTAAATTGTTGCCATATGGCAACAATACACAGTTGTACCACAGCATCATAAAATCTAAAAAAAGACACCATAAAATCTATTTTTTCTCTAAAAACATACTTTTCTTGAAAACAAGACCAAACAAGTCCAATTTATACATGAAATACATGGCCCAAAATTTACAAATATTGTAAATTCATAAAATTTTAATTGGTATTTGGATTGTATGATATTAACAACATCATGATAGAAATTCCTGGCCATGTGACGTCATAAAGTATTTGTTTTCACAGATTTTATATTACTGCTTTTTAGTAAAATTGAGATTAAGTAATTGTTGCCATGTGGCAACACCGTGCAATAGAGGGTTAATAAAACGAGGTTTTATTCCAAGTCACTTTGGAGAATTTCTATTAGTCCCTTCATCATATAACATTCGCACAAAGTAAAACGCAGTTTTCAAATAGTTCAAAATGAAAGAAAAACACTTTTGAAGCTGGAAGGTTTTGATACGACAGTGACGTTTTATATGTCAACATGCATTAAACGATGATTGAGTATAGGCTGGCAGGGGAACTGGTTTGAGACCAGTTGTATATTGTATACAGCAGGTTAACGACAGTAAGCTTTGGGGTTTGAATGCAGAAACATGCATGAAAAAGAGTGAAACAGTGAAAGAAACAGCAGTCGCTCAGCAGCGCCCCCTGAGAAAAATGCAGTCATGAACATCAGGTATGTGGGGTTGTTAAGAAGAAGACTGGACAGAGACGGGTTAGCATTAGTAAAATACAGCATGCAGAACAGAACAGCAGCCAGCTGCACCAGCTGAGCGTAAGTTCGATCGTAGCCTAGTTGGAATGTAAACTGCCACTCTGTTCAAGTTTACGAGCGACTAGAATTTAATTGCATCAAGTAACATAGTTTCAACTTAGCTTTACGTTGTCAGGTAGCGTTATTGATTGGCTGCAGAGTGAGAATGTTGCATGCTATACACTCCTATATTAATCAATGTAGCCTTTCACACCGTCACGTTTTGGGTCTATTTCTGACGCATGCCACGCTGCAGGCCAGCAGTTTCTATGCAGAAACAGTAACGAAATGCAATGCCTGTGCTATGATATACAATCTAGGCTAATAAACAAATCAACAGATCCAGTTTGAACTCTTTGACAGGTTGATTGAAATCCCTTGAGTAGGTTAAAGTTGTGAAAATACAGGCGTCTCCTCTTCTTTATATAGCGCTACATCACCTGATGAGAAAGCCAGCATGAGTCAAGGCAGCTAGTCAAGGTTTTACTGTTGATCTCTTTATGACATCTACATAAAGCGTGCGTGAATAATAAACGGACAATACAGATGTATTTCGCTGTTGTCAGAACAAAACCAAAATGGTAACTTTACAGGGAGAAGGAAAAAACCTACTTTACTTCTAATGTAAGTCAATGGAACCAGACATTTTCCCAAGTCATTTTGGGCCGTTTCTTTTAGTCCATTCATCATAAAATTCACAGATAATGTAAAGAGCGACAGGCACTTTCAAATAAGGGAAAAAACTGAAAAAAGACAAAAATGGAGATATGAGGATTTCTTCCGACAGCAGTGAGTATATTAGATGTTATACCACAGTTAGTTCTGGCCACACGAGCTGATTGGTTGAGAAGCGTTCTGACTGTGCTGTTATTTCGCCATAACATCACTTTTTTTTCACAAACACTGTATCACTCCGCTGAGACGGCATTGCTAAGCAACGAGTTTGACAGCTGTAGGAGACGCTCAAGACATTTGAACGTTTTTACTTCTTACTTTGCCACAAACAGAAAATTGACACTTAAGATCACATTTGACCGACAGCCGATTTGGTCAGACTCTGAAGATGAGACGACACTAAATTCCCAAACTGTCGTCACCACTGAGCAGCTTTTCAGTCGGCAGCTGTGACAGAAGAACAGCTGAACAACCTGGAATCAGCCAGAAATGAACCCAACACCATTCGCCAAACTAAATGGGCTGTAAGATGCTTCACAGCTGGAACAAAACAACATTCATTACATACATACATTATTAACATACTGATCTGGCAAAAACTGACAAAACTGAGCTAAACTTGATATTGCGGCAGTTTTATGGCTCAGTCTGAACTTCAAAAGGCGAGGCTTACAGCAGACTGTGCAGCGAGTGGGTGGAGTTCGTTACTCTGACGTAGCAACAAGCTGCTCGTTAAGGAACTATAATTTGGTGAAGGAACTGCGAACATTAAAACATATTAAACGCCGCGTTCACAGCCCAGTTTATTAATTTATTACTTTATTTATTTAACTGTTGTGTAAAAGCAATAGAACACGAGAGAGAGTGTGTTACAGCGAATAACATCACGGCTGTAGTGATATTTCACGATAACACACTCCCTCCCATGTTCTATTGCTTTAAAAACACAACACATGAATCCCGCGTGAAATAAGAAGCGTCGCGGAGTGGTTACGGATTAGCGTGGACGCCGCGACGTGTCCAGTGTGAAATGGGCGTGAGAGTCTTTGAAAAGGCCCATCCTGCAGTAGCACTGAACACAGTTCTTCACGTAGTGGGTTAGCGCTTGTGGGTTCCCCTCCCCCGAGCGGATGAATCTGACGATTGCGGGTGCATTACAAGAGAATTCAAAGGGGACTCGGTCAAAGCTTGGCGAGGGACGCGTCTTCTAAGGATGTGAGTGAATTTTCTTCTATTGTTCTCAAATCTTCATCCGTAAAATGTTAATTTTGAGACCTAAACATCGAGCCGGACCTTCTTTTTGAGCCTGTACATGTGACGTAAAAGACGTATGACGTGGTGTAAAAACTCCCTGACCCGACGCCTCTGACTTAAAATTAATATTTCAGGAAGAACTGCAGCAGCACACGCTCTCTCAGTAACGCTACTTCTTTCAGTTTTAGAACAAAAAATCTTACATAGTGCAGCTTTAATGCACAGTTACTGCTTGTTTGCTAAATTTAGCATACTGGGGAAAAAATAAAGCAAAAAATATGAACATTGCAAAGTTATGGCACATTTTAAGGCTAACTTAGTTCACATATTTTTGCTTAGAAGATCAACAGAACATGTAATTTCACCTCAGAACTGTTTAAACTTCTGCACACAGCCGTATTTTCAGTGCTGGTCTCTAAGCCCGACTCGCTGAGCTAGGAAAGTTAAACTGAACACTTACCTCACGACGTGTACAGAGCGCTAGATAACTGGAGTGTGTGGAGAAACGACTGAGTCTGTCACACTTCAACCTCTACACACACACACACACACACACACACACACACACACACACACACACACACATTCAGTGAGCTGAGATATAGAGTCACTCTGTGAGACTCTCTCTCTCAGCAGCCTGAAGCAGGCCTCACAATAAACAGCGTCCACGAAGCGGCGGGTTACCACGGAAACCTCCCCTCAAAGTGAGAGGAAGGAGGGAGGGAGGGGAGGAAAAGAAAGAAGAGAGAGAGAAATCAAAGAGGTCCTCTACACCGCTGATGTGTTTCTATCAGAGCTGAGAGGAGAGAGAGAGAGAGAGAGAGAGAGAGACAGAAGAGAGGGAGAGAGAGGAAGAGAAACAAGAGAGCAGATGAATGGCAAGAAAAGAAGGAGGAGAGGCAAGAAGAAGGAGAGAGAGAGAAAATGGGTGAGGAATGAATGGAGAGAGACAGAGAGAGAGAGATAGAGAGAAAGAAAGTGAGAGAGAGAGAGAGAGAGAGAGAGAAAGATAGAGAGAGAGGGAGAGAGAGAGAGAGAGAGAGAGAGGGAGAGAGAGAGAGAGAAAGATAGAGAGAGCGAGGGAGAGAGAGAGAAAGAGAAAGAGAGAGAGAGAGAGAGAGAGGGCTGAGAAAAGGGCAGAAGGGGCTTGGTCTGGCTCTCAGCCAAAAGCTGTTTTCATTAGAAAGCTTGGAGGGGCAAAAGAATGCCATTCATGAAGTCTAGAGAGAGAGAGAGAGAGAGAGAGACAGACAGAGAGAGAGAGAGAGAGAGAGAGAGAGAGAGAGAGAGAGAGAGAGAGAGACAGACAGACAGAGAGAGAGAGAGAGAGAGAGACGAGACAGACAGACAAAGAGAGAGAGAGAGAGAGAGAGTAAATGTATGACAGACACACTATAATGTCCAAAAGTTTGTGGACACCTGCTATTGGTATTGATAGTGAGTTTGCCCTCCTTTGCTGCAGTAACAGCCTCTCTTGGGAAGGCTTTACACTGATGTTGGAACATTGCTATGAGGATTTGATTGAGCATTAATGAGGTCATGTACTGATGTTGGATGATCAGTTCTGGATCTCCAGCTCGTCCCAAAGGTACCGGATGGAGCTCCAGCACTCCAGAGAACGCAGGTGCTCCACAGCCCATGGAGCATGGAGACCTTAGGCTCATGGGTGGCTTTTAGACACATAGTGTGTGTGACAGATGAGGCAAAGAAAGGACAGAGAGAAAATGGCCACATATAGTTGAAAAGAAGATTATGAGTAGAAAGCGAGAGACTATTCCCTCTCGTTGTCAACCACACCTCTCTCTCTCAGTGATGGTCTGTGGGTGAGCCGCAGTTCTGAGAGCTGGTGAGTAATTACAGGATTCCTCTCTCGCTCATTCGCTTAAACGCAAACTAGCTTTAACATTGAAACCGTGTCATTATGAGCCTTCAGACCAGCAGCCTTCCGTGTGCTCGTCTCCCCAAGACATTCCACACATACTGCAGTTAAACTCGACCCAGCGGAGGAAATAAGGCCACGTGTCTCACAGCTCACAGCAAAAACATCCATATACGACCACTGATAGTCTCAGCCTCGAGGCCGGATTACAGTCGTATGTTTTAAGTAATGAACAGAATAATTTAGAAGCAAGCAAGTGATACATCCTTGTGTATTTGCCAGCGAATACCACTTTGTTTTGTGTAGGTGGGTTTTTTGGTGTAAAACCCACCCACAAAAAACCCTACATGTCTATGATTGGTTATTTTGCAAGGCAGTCAGGCGGCCCCTTCCTGTCAAAGTAGGCAGTTGTTCACCATGTCAAGCGCACTCTGACGACAGGCAGAAGACTAGCTTACTTTTCCACTTTTCCACAGTTAAACCTCAGAAATCTTGTTATGGTACACAATTTTATGATTAGTGACATAGTAGATGAATACATCCCTATAAACACGTACATACAATTACATACATGCATACAATCACACACAGACTACTTTCCCTTCGTTTGAACCTCAGAAAATGACAAAAAAAGATGGTTTTTATTTACACTCTATCGAATGTGGTTTGGATTGAAAGTTTAGAATCAGCGCTTTCGTTTGTTTCAATGAGCTGCGAGCAGTGTGGGAAATACCCCCTGGTATTTGAGGGGTCCCATGTCGGCTGGCTGCGAACTCACTCGCCATAGTGATGCTGATACTAGCTTCAAATCTAGTTTGGTAGTGCAGTCTACAGTATTTCAGAGGTATTCTGGGCATAGTTACAGTTGCTAGGTTATGAAGGACCAACTGGGTGAACCAATGCTACAGTGACACCCTGAGGCTGAGCAGTGCTGCATCTCTAGCCAGTAAAGAATGGCAAAGACAGAAGCTGATTGTGGGTGAAGCAGCTAAATAATGAGCTTTCCCTGAATTTGTATTTGAGTGTTTATTTTTCCCTAACAAGCAACTTAACATCATAGTAAGTTTGTTTTCGGGGACCACCCAGAATTTTGCATTATTTGGCTACGAGAAAGAAAAAAAGTCAGAAAAAAGGAGGTTCTCATGACAGAAGAATAAAGTCTTAGGGTTTAGGGATTAGGGTTCAGGCTTTAGGGTTAGGGTTTAGGCTTTAGGGTTAGGGTTTAGGGATTAGGGTTCAGGCTTTAGGGTTAGGGTTTAGGGTTTAAGTGTTACAGTTTAAAGATTAAGGGGTTTGGTCTGCTCCAGGTCCAGCGGCGGAGGGCTTGCAGTGCTGTACCTTTCTGCTCCATCGGGAGAACTGGCAACATTCAGTAGGGGAGGAGGATCGGGCGCTCTCAAACTACAACACAAACAAACAAACACAACACCAGCACAGCTATGAGTAATGAAGGGAGGGAGGGAAACAGGTAAACAGAGGTGTAACCCGGGGGCTAAACACTGAAACATGAAGCTGCAGTCGACTCCTGTTAGCTGCACGTATAGAGGTCATAGACGTCAGCAGGCCGGGGGATGCTGGTCAGCAACCTGCAAACAAATCCTAAGCCAACAAAGAGGTGGAGCTCATAGACAGCCTGTATGTAAACACTCCAAAGCACTGTGGACTTACTCTGCACTCTGTAAGGCAAACAATAAGCAATATTATGAGCTCTGAGCATGACAGACAGACAGGAGACGGCATGTAGACCAAAACAGAAACCCTGTGATGTGACAGTTTTACCTGTGTGTGCTCTACCTGCACTGCTGCATCCCTCACCTCCTCCTCCTGCAGCATGATGGAGGAGGAAAACACACAAGCTGTAAGAAACATGTCAGGTAAATAAAGCTCTGCTGGAGCTGGATTCATTTTGCCTGAGGAGGTTCTATAATTTAAGTGCTTGTGATCCATTATGAATCTGCAGTGTGTGTAGTTTTACAGTCTGACGGTAATAATTGTGGAGCGATTTTAATCCAGTATGAATCTGCAGTGTGTGTAGTTTTACAGTCTGACGGTAATAATTGTGGAGCGATTTTAATCCAGTATGAATCTGCAGTGTGTGTAGTTTTACAGTCTGACAGTAATAATTGTGGAGCGATTTTAATCCAGTATGAATCTGCAGTGTGTGTAGTTTATACAGTCTGACGGTAATAATTGTGGAGCGATTTTAATCCAGTGTGAATCTGCAGTGTGTGTAGTTTTACAGTCTGACGGTAATAATTGTGGAGCGATTTTAATCCAGTGTGAATCTGCAGTGTGTGTAGTTTTACAGTCTGACAGTAATAATTGTGGAGTGATTTTAATCCAGTATGAATCTGCAGTGTGTGTAGTTTTACAGTCTGACAGTAATAATTGTGTAGCGATTTTAATCCAGTATGAATCTGCAGTGTGTGTAGTTTTACAGTCTGACAGTAATAATTGTGGAGCGATTTTAATCCAGTATGAATCTGCAGTGTGTGTAGTTTATACAGTCTGACAGTAATATCTGTGGAGTGACACTACTGCACGACCTCATCAGGTAAAACTAATCCAGCACCAACAGAGTTGTGTGAGGCGTTCATTGCAAAGTTGGAGCAGAAAAATATCTAAAAGAGTTAAAAGTTACAGAAAAAAAATCATGCTGGACGTCGACACCATTCTTGATAAATGATGCTGTGATGAAACGTGTAAAGCAGTAAAGTCACACAAATAACAAGGCAAGCCATGACTGTCTGGATGACTGGAATGACTGAAATGATCCTGTAAAAAAGCTCATGCTGCTCATGAAGGAGGAGGTTCAGTCGGATGAGCACTAGCATGCCACAGTCCACACAGGTGCGTTTACCTGTGCGTGTGCTGTGTGAGTGTCTGTGCTTCCCTCTGTTCTCTCCTACACGCACATCACACACACACACCACAGTCAGCTGATCCAGTGTGAAGCACAGAGCTGTAGACACTCATCATCTCATAGCTTTAATGGCTCAGCAACACAATAAAGAACAATATTTTAGACAAACAGCCCAGTTTTACTGCAGAATGCAGCCATGCAGTGTAGTTCAGTTCAAGATCAGGATCTGCACTCATTCAAAATCCTGAGCTTCAGTGTCGATACACAAACTGCCCCTGAGTTATAGGAGATTATAAAGAGGGATTCCACAGCTCCACTGACCACACAGGAGCACTTTGTAGTTCTACAGTTACAGACTGTAGTCCATCTGTTTCTCTGCATACTTTGTTAGCCTGTTCTTCAGTGGTCAGGACCCCCATGGACCCCCACAGAGCAGGTACTATTTGGGTGGTGGATCATTCTCAGCACTGCAGTAACACTGACGTGGTGGTGGTGTGTTAGTGTGTGTTGCGCTGGTCTGAGTGGATCAGACACAGCAGTGCTGCTGGAGTTTTTAAACACCTCAGAGTCACTGCTGGACTGAGAATAGTCCACCAACCAAAATATCCAGCCAACAGCGTCCTGTGGGCAGCGTCCTGTGAGCACTGATGAAGGACTACAGGATGACCAACACAAACTGTGCAGCAGCAGATGAGCTATCGTCTCTGACTTTACATCTACAAGGTGGACCGACAAGGTAATAGAGTGGACAGTGAGTGGACACCGTGTTTAAAAACTCTGATCCACTCAGACCAGCGCAACACACACTAACACACCACCACCACGTCAGTGTTACTGCAGTGCTGAAAATGATCCACCGCCCAAATAGTACCTGCTCTGTGGGGGTCCATGGGGGTCCTGACCACTGAAGAACAGGGTGAAAGGGGGCTAACAAAGTATGCAGAGAAACAGATGGACTACAGTCTGTAACTGTAGAACTACAAAGTGACCCTATGTGGTCAGTGGAGCTGATAAAATGGACAGTGAGTGCAGAAACAAGGAGGTGGACTTAATTAAAGGTTCCTCTCTATTTTTGTTGAATGGACAGAAAGACGGACTGATAGATGGACAGAAATGTGTGTATGATTTTACCGTCTGGAGGTGTTCCTGGTTCCTGAGGGAGTGGGGGGAGGGGTAAGTGGGAATGGGCGGAGCCGCGCAGATAGAGATGGTCACCCTCCTCTCTCTTTCACTCACTTCCTGTCTCTGCTGCTGATCTGTTACACGCAAACATACAAGCTAGCGTTAGCGTTAGCGTTAGCACTGAGGGACAGTCAGAATGTCTGAGTGTAAAACAGACGGTCATTCATTCAAACACAGTAACAGAGTCAGGAGACGAGCGCGCTACACCCTCGTGTCCACCAGAGGGCAGTGTCTGACCTCACACTGCCCACACGACCGGTCACTGAACAGCATGGAGCTGGAATTTGGTCTTTCACACTAAGGACAGTGTTTCTCACATGACGGTTAAAGCAATAGCTGTTTATTGATTATTGATCATCCTGACTTCTGTGCAGAGATTCTAGGCTCTGATTAGTACTGTGAAAGTGATTATTGATTACTGATCATCCCGACTTCTGTACAGAGATTCTAGGCTCTGATTAGTACTGTAAAAATGATTATTGATTATTGATCATCCTGACTTCTGTGCAGAGATTCTAGGCTCTGATTAGTACTGTAAACTTGATAACTGATTATTGATAATTCTGAGTTCTGTGCTGAGATTCTAGACCCTGATTGGTAGTGTAATGAATGATTACTGATCATTTAAACATCTGTATAGAGATTCTAGGCTCTAATTAGTACGCTGATAGAAGGTTATTGATTATTGATGATTAATTATTGATCAGTCTGACCTCTGTACAGAGCTTGTAGGCTCTGTTTGGCATTTCGGTGCAGCTCCTCCACGCAGGCTGGCCGAGTGGATGGGAGAAACACATTCCTCTGCAGGTGAAACACCGACTGATAGTGAGCAGTCAGCTTACTCTCAACGTCCAGATTCGACACAGCTAGAGAGGGAGAGAGAGAGAGAGAGAGAGAGAGATGAGAGTCAGATCAGATGACCATACATAACCAGGCCTATGCACTGACCACTTTAGTCATGTCTACCTTACAGGTGTATAATTACAGACTGCAGCTTATCTGTTGCTGCAGCTAATCAGCCCCTTTCTGCCCCATTGGTCAGTTTCTGACCACAGGAAAGCTGTTGTCCAGATATTATTTGGGTGGTGGACCATTCTCAGGACAGCAGTGACACTGACATGGTAGCGTGTGATGCTGGTACGAGTGGATCAGACACAATAGTGTTGTTGAGGTTTTTACACGTCAGTGTTGCGGCTAGCTTTAGAGTGGACCACCACCCAAAAGTGCCCAGACCAGATGACCTCGATGAAGGACTAAAGGATGACTAACACAACCTTTACATCAACAGATGGTGGGTGAAGCTACAAGAGAGGGGTTTCTGATAAAGTGTCAGAAGGCAGAATTGTCCACCATGCAAATAAGATATCAATAGTGGTCCAGTGGACAGAAGCTGACTAGTGACAAATGGGGTGATAATCTATTGAGTTCCCCTACAGATCTGCAATGGAAGTCTATCCAGCTTCTATCAGCACTAAAATAAAGAGCTTAAGCTCAGAAGTGAGAGGGGTGGTCAACAGTGGAGCCGTCCCAGCAGCTGAACTAACACAACGGAATCAAACTAAACCCAAAAACAGAGAATTAGGAACTAAACGTTAAAGACTAAAATGGAGCTACGCAGAAAGTAAGTTCATTTCCTCACTAATTTGCTTGAAGTAAATTGTTGTCATTTAAAAATAAAAGCATTAATCCGTTAAAATTGCACTTAAGTACATGTAACTGAGCAAACACAACTATTTACTGCCCCCCTCTGTTTATCAGACCCCCTAACGGATCAGTAAGAGAGAGAAACAGTGGAGCTTAACGCAGGCCCACCTTCTAAACAAATGACCCTCCACTAAATAAACCCGGACAAACCCCAACCAAATGCTCTTCTCACCCCCCAGTGAGACCCCCTCACCCGGCACTCAGGATCTAAATGGTACGGCCCATCACTCAGGCGAGGAGGTGGGGAGAGCTGTTTGTTACAGATGATGGACAGATGAACACGTCTGCTGTGAACGCGGAGATGTTATGGCTACATTAGGACTCAGTGTCTGACTCCGACGCCGCAGGCAGTTGAAGCTATAGTGAATGTGAATAGGTCTATAGAGCACTCACTCTCCTCACTCACACTCAAAACCCTGGTATTAAAGCTCTCCAATCTAGGTCAGATACTCAGCAGAGCACGGCTGGCTTGATCTTCTGTGACCGTATATGTGAGAGAAAAGAGGTAGTAAGGAATAATGTCTAGTCCAGACGCTGAAATCCTTTGCTAGCAGAAGAAATCAATGTTTATTAGCAATAAATGCAACACAGCGTCACAGCGTCACAGCGTCACCGCCGAAACACAATTATATGACCGTTTATGGAGAATTGTGCTGATTTTCAAGTCATTCTGAGTGGTTTGACGTGAAAATGGTCCATTTTATTTACTATCCAAACCCACCAGTGAACCTACGCGTGTCTTCTGAGTTTTATATGGAATGTTGATGATGGTAAAACAGTGGAAAATCTTTAAAAATATGTTTTCTTTGGGCTCCATTTTGCCTCACCATGCTCTCCCAGCACCCACAAATCGACTGCACAAATATATATATTTTAGCTCATAATCATAAAACAGTGTCTCAGATGTCACGGTATTCATAACCATTTCATGCAATGACTTTCTGTGAGGGAGCTTTTAGAGGTGGACGTCTGGTTCCTATCACCACCACTGTGAACAGTTCTGAAGTTTCTCTAGAACAGAGCGTTTCACACCAAACCACTAAGAATAGCTTTAACCGTATAAGCACAAATTTTTGGAAATTGATTAAAGAATTCATCTTTAAGAAACCGTGTTGAGCTGTTAAAGGAATAGAAATCAAACTTGCTTTAGAACTGGAGCTACGAGGCTAACTCTGCTAACAAACCCAAGAATGCAATAGTCACCCAAATAGCCCAAAAACATCTCTAAACACACTCAAACTGCATCCAGCTCTTTATTAAGGTGGCGCAGGCTTGGTGATGTGGTTTAGAGCACAGTATGACCAACCGTGAGCTTCACAAACACGGGCAGCCATTTCAGACACCAACACCAGGACTGATATTCACAAAGCAGGACTGATCTTGGATCAGATTCCTCCGTATTTATGATGGTCATTGTCACAAATACTGATTCCAGATCAGCACTCCGACTCCGGAGGTGGTCTGGGAATACACACCCTGTAGTTTAAAGAGGCTGCCAGCACTTTTGTTCATTTTTATAGTTTACAGTAAGTCATGAAGGGCTTTAAACCACAATGACAAGTCTGTCCCACCTTAATGAAGACCTGGTTGAAGTGTGAGTGGGTTGAAAGATGTTTCAGTGATGTCTTTTTACAGAAAAGATTTGGGCTATTTGGGTCACTATTGACTTCCAGTGTGTTAGAAATCGCAACCTCACAGCTCTAAACTACAGAGACTCCAGTCTTGTTCCGACCGATCGACTACATCTGAAGTAAGTGCCCTGATAGCAGCATATATCGGTCCACTGGCTTGATAAGGTCGGCACCCCGCCGGCTATTTGCCACTGCTGGTCCACTCTCGGACCACCCAGATTATTGTCCTGCATACAAGCTCTAACTAGTTTTTAAGCTCCTCAAACAGAATTAAAAAAAGACAAATATTATAAACAACGAAGTGAAAAAAAATCATGTCTAGGCCTGACGTGAAATGTTGTTGCTGACACTGTTAAAATTATTTTACTGATTAAAATGATTTACTACACTAATCTACAATGTATAACTACAGAAAGTTGGTAAAGTAAATTGGACTATGAGTAGAAAATGAGCGGTAAGTGGAATTTTGTCTAATAATCTGCTTAACCACCGGTGGGCCGCCCAGAAAGCGCTGAGCATCAGCGGGCCAACAGTCGTCCGCTATCCTCTTGCTATCAGGGTGGAAAATTGTATAAATTTGATTTTTTTGCTAAATTAATCTTAAATAGACTTTTTTTAGACTGGTTTCTGACGCTGATGTACTGTTGTTTATGTATCTAAGGTAGCTGCAGCTTCTGTTTAGCTATGCTAATGTACTTCAGTCTATGTTTATAGATTACAGTGAGTCATACAGTGTCAGACACCACAAAATCGAGTCTATTAGTGATGAATAAAGAAGTAGACACAGTTTGAGGTGAGTAATGATTTAGGCATTATTAGCTTCCATTAGCTTCGTTAGCTGTGTAGCTCTAAAAATGAAGTAAAGAAGCAAACTTCAGACACTAAACATGGCTGATCGACTACATTTGGGATAAGTGGAAAATTGTGTAAATTAGATTTTTGCTGAATTATTCCTTTAATTAATCTTAAATGGATTTGATTAGGTGGTTTCTGACAGTGACATAGTGCTATTTATGTATCTAAGATAGCTGCTGCTTCCACTATGCTAATGTAGTTCAGTCTATGTTTATGGATCACAGTGAGTCATACAGTGTCAGAAACCACAGAATCCAGTCTAATATTGATTACTGAACAACTCCACACAGGTTTTAAGTGAGTGATTATTTAGACATGCAGTTAGCACCATGCTAACCTCGCAGTTATTAGCTTCCACTAGCTGCATTAGCCTTGTAGCTCTAATGCTGAAGTAAAGAAGCAAAGCTTAGACACTAAACCTGTCTTGGCTGATCAACTATGTTTGCAGTCAAGGCCAAACTTGGCTGTAATATTCCTTCATCAATACTGACTTCCACAGTGATTCGTCCGTAAAGAGCCAAACGCAGGCCAGTTGCACGTAAATCATGCGTGAAGGAGGAACGCGATAAATCCAAGCTTTATTCACTGAAATAAAGCGAGTGGCTTGGATTCGAAACACAATTCCACAGCCGCAGCCCTGCCAGACTGAAATCTAGCAGCGCTCACACAACCCCTCGCTCCTTTGAGCTCCTGCCAGGTTCCTCCTTTCATTTCCACTCCAGAGGTTCTCTCCTACCTGGAGCCGAGCTCCAGGCTCTGTAGACCTGGCAGGTGGACTGTAGCACGGACCAAAGACCCGATAGTGATCAAAGCGGCACCCAGACAGACCAAGAGGGACTCAACTGATTCCTTCAGATTCAGATCTGAGTGCGGCTGTGGCTCAACTTCAGTCTGGGAGGATCCAGTGACTTTTCTTTTTTAATTAAATGAATAGTTCAAAGAAAAAAACATCAGATTTACACAATATTAGCCTCACTGCAAATTCAGTTGATTGGTCAAGACTTGCTATATGGATCTGATATACAGTAATATATGGATTTCAAATAAATGACATACATTAGAATATATGGATATCCAATTTATATTAATCATATAAGTTGGACTTCCATATTTACAAATGGTCAATTTAAAAAAAGTTGGCATACATATCACATAAATGTCGGCCAACTTATTTGAAACTGGCCATTTTCGAATATGGGACATATATTCCAGCCATATATCAACATATACAAACATATATGTGTTATATTTAACAACATATGATAGAAAACATTGGGCCTCGTTCACCAACCGTTCCATCCATATATTATGAATATATGTTCAATTATTGATACTTATATATGTACATAACAAACATATGCATGTATTTGGAAATACATGCCTGACCCTTTATGATATATGTGCATATATGGCCACATATCAGGTTTCTGTGTGGGTTATTTGTCTGAAGTTTACATCTTTAGCTTTAGCACTGGTAGCTAACAGGTCATGGAAGCTAATGTACACAAATTAGCACGCTAACCTGGTGGCCTCCATCAGCTGCCTCAAACCGTGTTGAGTTGTTCAATAATCTATAATAGACTTGATTATGTGGTTTCTGACATTGCACAGTCATGTGAAAAAGTTTAGGCACCCTTGGTCAAATGTACGCTTTGTTGATTTTCTGATGTAAATAA